CAAAGTAACAACAACTAACAACAATGTATGCCACAGGAGTCTGGTAGCATAGTGCCTAAGGCATTTGACTGCTAACCAGAAGACTGGCGATTCAAACCCAACTGCCACTCCTCGGAAGGAAGGTTGGGCAATCTACTTCCGTAGTGATACTGCCTTAAAAACCCAATGATGGGTCGCTATGAGTCAGGGCCGACTCGATGGCATGTAACAACAACAACAACAATATATGGCATAAATAGACTATCAAGCATAACCCAAAATGCAAAAACTGTAGAAGTGAAACTAGATGAATGGGACCTTCTCAAAATTAAATTTTTATGTGCTTCCAAAGACTTCTCCAAAAGGGTCTAAAGAGAACCTATAGACTGGGAAAGAATATTTGGCAATGACATATCTGACAATGGACTTACCTCTAGAATTTATAGAAAATTCCAACACCTTATTAACAAAAAGACAAACAATCCAATTAAAAAATGGGCAGAAGACATGAATAGACACTTCATCAAGGAGGACATTCAGGCGGCCAACAAACATATGAAGAAATGCTCACAATCATTAGCCTTTAGCTGGATGCAAATCAAAACAATGAGACACCATCTTGCTCCAGCACCAGTAGCTAAGTTCAACAAGACAGAAAATAACAAATGCTGGCGAGGATGTGGAGAGATTGGCACTCTCATACACTGCTGGTGGGACAATAAAATGGTACAACCACTGTGGAAAGCAGTATGGCGATTCCTTCAAAAGTTGGAAATAGAAATACCATTTAACCCAGCCACTCCATTACTAGGTATATATCCTAAAGAAGTGAGGGCCATGACAAGAATAGACATATGCACACCCATGTTCATCACAGCACTATTTACAATAGCCAAAAGTTGGAAACAACCTAGGTGTCCATCAACTGAGGAATGGATAACCAAGCTATGGTACATACACACAATGGAATACTATGCAACCCTAAAGAATAACCTAAAATCTGCGAAACACCACATAACGTGGATGACTTGGTGGACTTTTGCTAAGTGAAATAAATCAATCACAGGACAAATATTGTATTAGCCTGTTATTGTAAAAGTCAAGGAAAGCTTTATCAATGGAAGGACATTTTCTTTGTTGGTTACCAGGGGTGGGAGGGATGGGGAGGGAACACTGTATTGATCTGGGTCAAGAGAAGGGCAATGTACCAAATATGAGTGATCAACATGGTGGCACTGAGGAAGAGGAAGACATAGAGAGGTA